GTATACCGGGCCAAAATATCTCTGCTAGATTATATATGGTTATAATACAGAGTGATTAGTACTGACTTAAGCCTTATAATTGTTGAAGTAAAATACATGAACTTAGAGAATGCACCAAGAAACTAGCTCTAGCAAATAATAATCGTAGTCGGACTTTTTATCAACATTCATAAATATTAGGATTCATTTAAAAAATTGGACTTCAGCTGTTTTTGATTAAATTAGCTTAATCTTGGTTATTTTCAAAAATTAAGAAACATATTTGCAAAATGGTGAGAAATAATAATCGTCAATGTTTTTTTTTTTTAAATATTTTTTGCGAACAAATTTTATCTTATTGATACTGTTTTTTAATGTTCACTTGTATTTTTCAATCATGCAAAAACGCAGCTTCCTACTAAAATTAATATCTTTTAAATCAAATCAAGAAATTGAATGCAAAAACGGAATATACATTGAAACATTTAAAAGCATTTAAGTCGGTTATAAAAATTAACTTAGCACGTATTTTAAGGCTTGCAGATGAAAAAAAAGGCCTAATTTTGAAAATGAGTATTCTCGTAGTTTCAAAGTTTCCCATGAACCTGAATTACATCAAACCTTTCTGCATTATAACTTCTGTACATGTTTCATCAATTTAATCAAATAAATTATTTATTTGTACGTTTTTTTGTTCGAACTTGAAGGAGCTGTCTTTTTATGTAATTAGTATCTATTTTACGTATTCAGCTATCGTGACATTTTCATCATCTATTCATAATAATGAGAAGAGAAATTTTGTAAAATAACTAAATATTAGATGAACCAAACACACAGTTCGCGTTCATTTAGTACAAAAAACTTTAATAGATTGATAACATTAAAAAAAGTGTTTTCCTACATCCTAATTTCATCAGATGTCATTTTTAGTACGTTGATTAAGTAAGTACGTAGATTAAGATTTTAGTAATTAAGTACTTAGTAATTTAGTTATTAAGTACGTTGATTAAGATTTTAGTAATTTGATTAAGGTACCTTAATCAAATTAGTATGCGTCGTGTTGAAATATTATTCATGGCATATTTAAGTTAATTTTCCTCTTTAAAAATAAGGTTTATTTTAATCTACCAATAATATTACAGTATATAAAACTAAATTTCAGATGTCTTTATTCCTAATTGTAATATGGGTCCTCTTAACGAAAAAAACCAGTGTGAAAAAGTGTCAAGAGTAATTATGCTTGAGAAAACGCTTAAGAAAATTTAAATATTTTAGCGAAAATGTTTAATTTATTTACCATATAAAGGTGCATAAAAATATTCATCCAGTAATCTTAGACGAAAAAACCCTGGAAGTCTTGCAGCTTTCCTCTGACGTCATAGCAGCTCCAATTAGTGTAAATTTAGGCTCCTCTATAGTGGACATGACATAATGGACTTAATGTAATGATCGACATTCAGTAAATGCGTTGTTTCGATGAGTGCGATGTCCCAATGAAGGCATTTAACCGAATCAGAATCTTGGAGAGTTGTTGGAGAGGGGGGCTAAACACAAGTCGAAATAGCAGAAGCCATTGGAGTTTCACAAAGTGTGATTTCCGGTATATGAAACCCTTTTTTTTTGGAGATTGGAAATGCAGGTCGAAGATCAGGACAATGGCGTAGACGTGCAACAACGCCCAAATGAAAACCGTTATTCAACGCTAACGGCTCGAAGACACCGAAATATAAATGCCACTCTTCTTCAACAACACTATTGCTCGGCTAATGGCACCACAGTTTCGGCACACTTTCCGAAACCACCTTCACGCTGTAGGTCTGTATGCTCGCCACCAATGGTGTGTATCACGACGTCACGTTAACAGCAAGGCAATAGTCGGTTCCCCCAGTGAATGAGCAACAGAACATGTGAACTGGTGGAGAAAGGAGTGGCGCAATAATCTTTTCTCGGACGAGTCCCGTTTCTCTGTTCTGATAATAGGCGTATTTTCATCTGGTGGGAACGTGGCACTAGAAACAATTCTGCCTTCGTGCACGAAAGTGCAAGATTTGGTTGTGGGGAAATGATGGTCTATATAGAGGGCCAACATATGTTGGCATCTCTATTGATGGGTGCACAGATCTCCATATCATTCGAAATGGAACTCTGACTAGTTGCCGATATTGGGATGAGATCCTGAGACCTACTGTAGTCCCTTACGTTGCAGCAATTGGATATGACTTCATGTTAATGGACGACAATTGCAGGCCACGTCGTGCTGACTTGGTGAATGATTTCCTTTTGGAGGAAGGAATCATACGAATGGAGTGGCCAGCGTGATCTCCGGATATGAACCCAATCGAGCATGTTTGGAACAGACTGAGCAGACAAATTGCTGGACGCCTACCACCCCCATAAATTCTCCAAGAACTGGAAAGAGATCTTCTGGAGGAGTGGGGTAAAATACCCCAGCTCCAGTTCGGAGATTACGACTATCAATGCTCAACCCCATAGTCTTTAATTTTGAACATAATTCAAAAGAAAAGGGAACACCTTGATAAAGACACACTAGTTGTTTAGGACTATTTTAATGGAACTAACCCAAATTTATGTTACATGGAGAGGAAAACTTCCCACTGTTAACCCGAAGGCAAGCTGATTCTAATCCATGACTTGTCATTTGTCTGTCATATAGGATATTTTACGTCAGCACTATGGTTAGTGCAGAACTCATATTTATCAGCTAGTGCAGGGATTCGAACTTTGGTCACTTCATTGGGAGACGTGTTTTATTGGATTATAAATTGAGGTGTTTATGACATAGAGCATTATTTTTTCTCTTTTCGAAGATATTTAAAGCAGGTATGTTTAATAATTTTTCCGGCTTCAAAATTCATTAAGTACTATATTGAGTTCCAATGTTTAACATGAAGCTATAATTGTAAACTTGAAGGGTACATTTAGATCTAATTTGAAATGAAAATAATTTGAATGAATTAAAAGTTGTAACTTATAATCTTGATACCAACATAGATCATAAAAATTGAAATAAATAAATATTAATATATGTAATTATGTTATATGTAGTTAATTAATATATGTAGTATAACGAGATATTGCAGAGTTAGCTACTTATACTGCATCACATAAATGTAATGGTTGTGATCGGAATTAGTTACAATATTGCATTATTTAGAAAAATCTGATATTCTTCCTTACAATCTAATGCTGGTCTATATAGATTGCAACCTAATTTTGATCAAAACAGTTTATAATCTAATACAGGTAAATGTGATACTAGTTGTGATTGGAATTGGTTACAACTTGATGATTTTGTGGACAACTGAGTTAGCTCAGTAACTTACTGTTACATAGTATTACTCATGTAATGATTAAAACATATATAGTGCAAGTGTTAAGAGGATGGTACCATCCAAGATAGAAATTTGGGGAAAAGGTCACGATGATGGATGATGATGCAGGATGAAATTAAACATCGCACTGAAGGGACAGGTGGTTCTTAAAGATCAAGTTAAGAGGATCATATAGGAGTAAGTAAGATACATATTTCTGTTATTTTGACTTGTATAAGTTTCAAAGGCTATCATTTGAGTTCTTTCTTTAACAGAATTACTTTTTTTCTGAATACTATTAAGTGAGGTTTTATCAATTTAATTTACATTTAAGGCAAGTGTGCAAAATAAAAAGCAGAATACCCTGGATAACTTTTGATCTAATGATTGAATCTTCACGTTCAAGGACTCAATCTAAATGGTTTGAGGGGGTGACCTTAAATACGTCAATTAAGTAGTGCTAAAGATATTGTAAGCTACAAAATCAGACACAAAAACGTACTTTCTCCGAATAAATGTACCTTTTTTTGACAGATTTGAATTTCTGGCCCCCAAAATATAGGGAGCATTCTGGGAAATATAGTCCCTATAGTTTGGTCAGGAGAGTGGTTCAAAATTTGAACCCCTTAATGTTAATTTTACTTTTTGCATATTTTACCATACGTTGAGAACTTTTAAAGCGAATCGCAAAATTTTTGCTTGCAATTATAAATTTTTTTTTATCTTAAGTTAATTCTATACAAAATGTAATGTTTGCTTGGAATTAGCTTTGGATAAATACATTTTATAAATGGGTGCAAAAATGTTTAAATTTTCTTAAAAGTTCTTAAGATATTTTATAATACGCTAAGAGTAACATTAATATTAGGGGTTCAAATTTTAGACCGCTCTCCTGACGAAACTATAGGGACAATATTTTGAGAGCCAGAAATCCGAATCTGTCGGAAAAAGGGTATGTTTATTCAGAGAAAGTACGTTTTTGTGCCTGATTTCATAAACTGAAATATTGTTATATTCCATCAGGGGTGATTGTGAGTCTAATTCAACCTGGAAAATTTCTTGAGTAAAATCATTAAAGATGCATAATGTCTTTATAAATTTAAATCATTGATATTTTCAAAACATTGAATCTAAATATATCATATACAGCATAATTTAAATGAATAATTATGTATAAGTTTATTTTTATCTCTAATCACATTTATTATTCCACCAGAAAAAATATTTACAAATGAAAGAAGCCAGTATAAATTCTAGTTCTAATATTTTTAAATAAAATATACCAAGAATTTTTATACATAAATGTGATCAATGATTTCTTGAAACTTCTGGACCAAAGATTTCTGGAGCGCAATTAGGGAAAAATCCGGATTTCTTCTGGAGCACAATCACCTCTGTTCTATATATACTTTTACTTTATTACTCTTATCGTATTTGTGACTACATTACATTAGTCATTACTGAGATTTTTTCATTATGTGACTTAAAAACATACACTATTTTAAAAATAAAAATCATGTAATTTGAAAAGCTTTGAAGCTAATAGAAGTAGTTTTAATTTGTTCTATTTTTTAAATACAATTTCCTCTACAGCTGCATTACATATATTGGAGATCGAGAGTTTCTTAAATGCAAAAATATGTTCAGAATATGTTAAATGTACAGTTGCCGAATCAAATAAGACACAGCTAATTAAAATATATTTTATTTGTTCGTATAAAAGTGTAAAATAGGTGGAAGCAGTTAAAAAGGTATCAATAAATTAAAACAAATTAAAAACGTAACACATGTAAAAGTTTAGAGGATTATTCTGTTGCATTTGCAGTAATATTCATGTCTTCCATGAACCTCTCCAACATAATCTGTATTTTATGAGGCTGATGATCAGAAAACATATCTGGATTCACAATTATTTTGTGAAAGTTGACTCCTGTTACCCAAACTGGTTTACTCCTGAAAATAAGTGAAAATACACTTTTTTGAATAAATGTACAAAATCAGTAAAATTTGAACTGATTAAATTCATCTCATTTAACATGTGCTAAAGCAATCAAAACATCTTTAGAGTAATATGTTTACACATAAATTTGTTTTGTAGATCCAAATAAAATGTATTGTCAGAATTGTTTTAAAAATCTTTGAATATAGAGTGTTCTGTTCTTACTAATCTCAAAATAAATATTTTTTAGAAACCTTCTAAAACGAAAGTTAAAAAAAAAAGAAAAGAGTTTTGACCTTTTAGAGCTATTTAACACATTTCTTCTCTGATAATAAGGAAATGAGATTATCACTATTGATAATATACCTGAGGAATATTTTGTTTAACTCCTTATAAGAATAATTAACCATTTTATTTAGATAAACTAAAAGATTAAGTTCACTAAAAATTCTAAACCAAATTTATTATCACATTCTACTATTATCCTAGTCTTATGACATATAGCATGTGTTGTATAGTATTAAAAACCTAAGACAATACTATACTCAAGGTTTACTGGAAGGAGTTAAAATTGCTCATTCAATAAATGAAATTAATATTGAATATTTTTAATCTATACTTTAATGTATAAGATATATTTTAGCATGTTTAGTTTACCAATCATTTCAAAAGCATTTATTAGAAATGCATCTAAATATTATCCTACGTTAAATAATTTATAGAAATTTCAATTTTTTTTTTATAGAATTTTATTAAATTACATTTTTTTTCTAGTAGAAACAAGAAATTTAAATGATTCCAGACAAGCATATTTTTCATGTATTTTATCAGCAAAATTGAATGAAACAAATCCAAAGATTATAAACGTTTTATTTAATGTTATTGTGAAAAAAAAATTAATTTTCTGAATTATTCTTATTGACTTGTTTTGTCCCGTTTGATTTAGCATAAAAATATATGTCAAGTTATTGACCTACTTGACTAGACAATAATGCTGGATGTTTAAATAGGTACAAGTACAAAATGGTACTTTTTTGTATGTAAATAAAACCGTCATATATTTAAAACTTCTCATATATAATCAATAACACATGTTTACAGCAGCAGACTGCTTAATTCAAAAAAAAAAATCTTGTTACGAAATCTAATGTAGAAACCTGATAAAGCTACTTTGTACTTTAGAATTAGAAGCTAGATAGTCTCTTTATTTTTTTCTTTCCACCAAGCCCTGAGCATGTACCTAGGTTATACAAAACCCTTAACCATAAAGCCCAGGGCTTGGCCACAAGTCCAGCTCCACCCCAGCCAAGGAACGGCCCAGTCATCGGTATTTATTTTGAAATTTTGATGTGTACAAGACAATATTCGCAGAATATAAATACACTGCTGGACAATTGCTAAGGACGGATCACAAATTTGCAATGTAGCATAACATTAACCCTTTGCCAACGGCGGGCACAGCATATGTGCCGCTCAAAAAACTTGCCCTAACAACGGCGAAGGCACAGCAGTTGTGCCGGCTGTTTCCTTCCCCTCAACTTGCTTGACCACCCATTAACCTGTCATTTCATCGCACTCCTCTTTTAAAAGGCCCTTTTGTTGGGAAAGGAGCTATGAGTACATCAGAGTCTTCTTTGACTTGGCTGAAAGATATTTATGTTTATTTCTATTATTTGGCGAATTTTGAGTGCTTATAAACATTTCATTGTCTTATGAAGCTGCGCTATCTTTATGATAGCTTTGATAGCTGTGCTATCATTACTTATTTTCATTTGAGATCTATTTCATAAAATTATTTATTATTTTGTTTTATTTTCGATTCGGAATCTTTTCTTTATATTAGTATTCCCCATTTGTGTTTAGAACTTTATGAAATTTTCAATTATTTTTTAGTGAAAAAATTTTATTTTCCATATTAAATATTTTATACAAAATTTCATACAAAAATATTTAAGTTTTCAGCTAAAAATTTTTTTAAAAAAATTAAAAAGGTAAACTAATTAAATTTTTATAGTTAAAATGAGCTTCTTTTAAGATCCAAATAATTTAAAAATATAAATGTATTTAGCTTTTCATGGCAAAAAAAAAGAAGGCAGAAAAAACACACACACACACACAAATTTCTTATAGTAAACTAAATTGCGCTTTTTTTTTTATCTAAAAGGAAGAGAACTATTTTTGAAGAATTTATTATTTAAGAAAATTAAGAATGTGGCGTCCAAAACTGAATCTAACTCTCTTTTTCAGATACAGATTGTTTTTGAACTTGTTTAATAAGTAATTAGTAGAAGAATTTAAAATCCTATTATTATTATTATTATCCCTTTTTAGTATATACTGCCAGGAGGAAACTTGATTCATTTCTTTTTCTACCACTTAACCATTTTTAGGCAGAGAAATGACTCAAGAAAAAGCTATTCAAATTCATTTCAAAAAGCTATATATAAACTCAAACATAAATATGATTATGAGTTTGAACTTCAGAAAATTAAAGGAATTCCTAATAGAAAAGAGTGAAAGAACAAGTATAAGTTCTTAATGGTGTATTGAAGGGGAACAGATATAGTTATAAATAACTAAAGATCAATGAATACTTGAAATGCTTGAATTCTCTTTTTAAAAATTAACAATTCTCAAATTTTGTCAGGTATGAGGCATTTTAAAATTAGGCAGAATCCTTTGTGTTTCAAAATAAAGACGATAACGCACCAGACGATACTTTGGAGGTCTGCAAAATTGACATATGAATGGAAGGTTGAGTTCTATATAGATTTTTACTACACAAAACCACCTTTTAAATAATAATGGTTGAAAAGTGAATAAAGTTGCTGTTGTAGATAAAAAAAAAAAGCGGCTCAATAAAAAGGATTGCAGTCTAAAGATAAAATCATTCAAACTGTGCCTATTCTTGATAGTTGTCATGTGTTAGAAAGGCAGAAAAGTTATATTGTGAACATCTATAGGATTGTCTTTAATATTTGACCTTGAACAACAAGTTTACTCTCAATGAAATAATCTTCATTTCTCAAAATGCCACCCATATGATAAACTATTGAACTACATAATGCTCCCCCCCCGCTCTATTCTCTGAGAAACATGCTTTTCTTTCTAAGTTTCCACGAAACATTTCTATCCGTACCTTCACAGCTTGCCACAATGTCATTTACTTCTCACAAAATAAATTGTTTCCCTTATTTAGAAAAAAGACAGGATATCGAAACCATTTCAACCTCTCAGTGTTGACTCTTCCATAGGCAAAATAGCAATACCTGCCTCTTTGTTTATCTTCAGAAATATTGATAATATATTTCGGGGTCTGTCACTCTTACAATTTTTAACAATAGCCAATTCCCAACACCTGAGGAAAGGACCACACAATTACCAAAGTAAATGCATGTTTTGCATTCAGTATGTCAATCGAGCTTGTATGGATGTGTCTGATAGATGGCTTGAAACTTTTTATTTTTAATGTATTAGTTGTAAAAGATTTCAGATCAAAAGATACTTTCTTTTGAATTGAACTTTTCAGCTTTTAACAGAAATAAAAATAAGTAAGACTTCTGATTATATTTTAAACAAATTATCAAATCTTTGAATAAACATTATCAAATCTTAGCCATGTTATATTGGATTCAATGAAACATTTAGCATACAATACGTACCGTTATTGAAATTTTAAAGATATTAAATGATCGAGAATTTTGCTTTGAATTTCTTTTATTTTTTAAATTTATTTTATTATTTTTTAATGTGACATAAAATTTTTAGACAAATAGGCGTGAATTTTTGTTACGAAAAATGACAAGTTCATTTTCTATTAGAAAAATAATCGAGACAAAATTGATTAGAATTGTATACACAGAAACTGTCATATGCACGTAATCTCATAAGTATTAGCTACCAGTATTTTTTTTTGAAAAAGGGAAAAAACTGAATATTTTAATAATTTAGAACAAGAATGAAAAATAATGAAGTTATATGAATAAATGTTAAGTTCTGCATACGAAATATTATTGCAGAAACATACTGTTTATTAAAAGGGCTTAAATAATTCGAATTAAACTTATTCAATTTTCTCCAAGAAACAATACTTTAAAATTAATTATATGAAACAAAAATAATAATTAATTAAGTACAATTTTTTATCTCTTATGATATTTGTTTTCAATTTTATAAGAGTGTACTTTATGCGATCGTAAAGGACATAAACAAGTAAAATAGTTAAACAAAATTTGAATAAAAAAAAATTGCATTTGGTATCACTTTTTAAACCGATAAATGAAATAAACTTTCAAAATATATAAAAAAAAATTGACGTTAACTGTTTTATTCACATCTCATTTTAAACAGTTTTGAAAACTTCTTTTTTTTTAACAATATCTAATAGGATAAATTTGTTTATAACTTTAAGACAAGAATAAAACCTCAAACAAGGCTCTATTTATCAAAGTATTGTTTTTTTTTTGTAGCGGTCTATTTAAAATTCTTCAAGAATCAAAAACTTCAAAATACGCGTTTTAAAAAAATAAAAAGTTTGAATAATTTGTATAACGTTTGCTTCTTTTTTAGCGAAATTGTTAATATACTTAGAAAAAAAATAGCTATAAATGTTTCTTTTGTAGAAGTTTATTTATAATCATTCAAGAATCAAGATCACTAATAAACACCCTGTTTTTAAATAATAAAAATTTTGAATAATTTATAAAAAAAATTTGCTTGTTTTTTCGAGAAATTGTTAATATATTTAAAAAAAAACTTTTAAAAAATTATGTTAAATTATGTCTGCATTAGAAAAAGATGTAAGCCAAAATATGTATAACTATGCCAAAAATAACTACTGGTCTGCAACCCTGCTTCTTCTCCCTTTAGGAAGCGTGAGGTACAAATTGCAACAAAATATTTCCTATTCATAACCAGTTAAAGTAGTTACCTCCCACTGACTAAGTGGGGGGATGAATTTCGGTAAGAAAGCGCCGTAGTAAGAGGAGAATTTTTTCATCTTTGTTGCCGTAGCCAAAAGGTTAAGCGAGACATGAGGCCCAGTAGGATAAAATATAGTTGCCACATTGTTTAGACGTTAGAATAAAGAATATTCGTTGTTCTGGAAAGTACAAAAGCCATGAAACACCTGAAAGAAAAAAAAAATTAATTTGATTCTGCGTACGAAAAAATGGAACAATGCATCTAAATGTCAGCAGGCAACTTGAAGAAAGGTGTCAGTACGGGATATGTCCACCGTGGAGTGTGATGCAACATTTTACACGTCGTATCATACTTTGCACAACATTATCCAGCAGCTGCTGAGGCAATTTATCCCATTCCTCTATCAGTGCACGGATGAGGGTATTCTTGTTTGCCGGAGGATAGTTTCGACCAGCAAGTTGCCTCCCCAAAGCATCCCAAACATTTTCAATGGGGTTTAGATCTGGAGAACGTGATGGTCATACGAGGCGTTGAATACCCTCGCTGTCTAGACAATCCTGAACAGCGAGTGTTCGATGACATGTTTCGTTGTCGCCCATAAAAACAAATTTATCACCGACAGCACCACGGAAAAGACGAATATGAGGATGTAGAACTTCATCAATGTATCGTTGTCCCGTCATAGTCCCATTCGCAACCACATGCAGGAGCGTGCGGCCATTGATCATGATGTGGGCCCACACCATGACAATGCATGTCGGATATCGGTCCCTTTCCTGGATATTTTCTGGACGATAACCAGTGCCACTCTCGAGCCAGATCAGTTGGCGTCTACAATCCGATGACTGAACCTACTCTCATCTGAGAATAGTACGCATGCCCAGTCCTGTTCAGTTCAATTGTGATGCTCACGACACCATTGCAAACGGGCCGTACGGGGCTGTCTGGTCAATGGGACACACACAACAGGTCTGCGGGCGTATAGTCCTCCTCCCCTCAAACGTCTGGCAACAGTTTTTCGGGAAATCTGCTTTCCTGTGGCAGCAAGAAACTGATTTGTCACCTGCTGAGCTGTGGTGCGCCTGTTCCTTTTTGCCGATAGGACGATGTATCTGTCTTCTGCAGGCGTCGTACTTCTAACACGACCTCCCCCGTGCAGCCTACTACACATTCCAGTAGTTTTAAATGATTTCCACAGTCGTGAAACAACGCTTTGAGCGATGTCGAACTCTCTGGCAACATCTGTTATTTTTCACCTTTCTTCGATCTTTCCAATAATTCGGTCACGCTTAAAATCATCTTAGTGATACCGGAAAGACATGCCGAAAATTTTAAGTTTGTCAACTAAATCTTTCCTGTAAAACTTTGACTTGAAACAACAACTCTCCACACGCGTCAAAACCTTTAAAGCTCTTATCAGCGCTATCACGTGATGAACAGGCGTGGAAAAAATATTTGCATACGCATACCTCTTCTTACTATATCCCGCACTAATTCTAATTTTCCGCATTTTGCTTCCTTTCATTTTGAAGTTGCTATGGATGATAGTGTTATTCGTCCTTAGCAATTGTCCAGCAGTGTAGTTACAGCGTATAAATATAGTGATATAGAATTTGTTAAATAATAATTTCATTGAGACTATGCTAGGTTATATAATAAACACATCAGAGGAAGAAAATAACATAATGATGTGCTAGATAGTCTCTATGCTGAAGCAGAGCACTTTTGATGTGTGTGCAGTACTAGAAATGAGATGGATTGATAGGAAAGATTAAATGATTTTCTACAGCTGCAATGCCAAAAAATATATTGAAGGTACAGGTTTTTCGTAAGTAAATGTTAAAAATATCATATAATGGATTTCAGGATATAACAAGACTTCACAAAAGAATTAAAGGAAAATTTTCAACAGTAATAATTTATCTTCCCATACTCCCACAAAAAGAAACATCCAGTGATGCAACAAACAACAATGAAGGCAGGCCCACTAACTTCACAGTAGCACTTAGCAAGATTGTTGGAAGTACCAAAATTAGTTTCAAAGAACTTTGAAGGCACCAAGTGGTCTCTGCTCAAAGCAAATAGATCATGTCTTGATTAATGCCAGACCACATTGATGTTGGGACATGCAGAGGTGCAAATATCAATTCAGATAGTTCTTTATTTATAGCATAACATATGGATGCAAGAAACTGAAGATCAATCAATGAGAAAAGAATATCATCATCTTACAGCCTCATTTTAGGGCTCTATCTTTTGATTGTTAGATTCTAGTCAGAGGACATTGACAGCACCTGAACTGCTGGTACCTCTTCTCTCCAAACTTCCACACTACAACCAGCAAGAGGTCTTTAAGCCAGGAAAGATTTAACATGCATCTTGTTTTATCGTTCATCAGGGTTGAACACAATACTCCCATCTCTCTAAACAGTGTTGGGAGACACGTTTTACCTAAAATCCACTATAGTGCTGAAGAATCTTCTTCTTTCAAATCCCCATTTCTAGCCTAGCTAGACAAGGTCCATGAGTTTGTTCACCTTCAAAAAGTTCATGGTGGGGTAATGGGAGCCTGCAGACTTTGGCTGGGCATATTGGAGTGGCCTTTAAGCCTTGGGTGGCCCTACCAGGAGTAAAGCTCCCGACATACTTCCCCCACTCTGCCCAGGGTCACTCTCTCGCCACGTTGAGGCAGCCTGATCAGACTTTGAGGGAGCAGTGCTGAAGAATGAATATACTGACTGTGTCGAAAAATTACTGGACATAAATTCGAGGAAGCATTTGCCATACTGCATTGTTGGCCACACTGAGTCAAGTGAGACTGGTTTGATAAAAAAAAAAAATGTGCCAAACTTACTAGCTGTTAGTAATTCTGAAGAATATACAGGAGCCAGGAAAGAAGATAAGAGACTCCACAAGAGAAAGAATTTCTGCAGAAGAAAATCTTAAAATTAAATCATAAATGATCAGAAATCAAACTTCTTTACATTATCATAGGACAAACTAATTTCACCTCTTGAGAGAAATGATATTGAACCAACAATCAATAAGCTCAAAAATAATATCGTCATCTGGTCATTATCTCACTTTTGCAGAGTTTTTAAAACTTAAAACTGAAGGTTTTCATTTTTACAAGCACTTGCACAAAATATATTAGCAATTTGGAGTTCTGAAAAAACTGCCATCAGAATGGAATATTGACATTTTATGCTCCATCCATAAAAAGGGAAGTTCAATGATTTTCTGTGATTATAGAGGTATTAGCCTTTTATGCACCTACAATAAAATCTTCTCCAATATTCCTTATAACGGACTCGGACCCTTTATGAATTTGAAATTGGTAGCTATCAATGTTGGTTTAGAGCCAAAAAATCCACTCTTGACAAAATCTTCTATGTCAGATTCTTGAAAAATCAATTGAGTTTGGTATTGAGACTGAACACTAGTTTATTGAATATACACTAGCATTTGATAGTGCAATTCAGATTTACCTAATGAATTAATTTGAAATTCCAGGCAAATTAATTAGACTTATGATGTGCACAATAAGCAGCACCACCTGTAAAATAAATTCACAGGTGTCATCTATCAGTGGCTTAGATATTAATAACAATATTGTGCTATAAAAGGCTATTCAAGATTCAAATTCACATGAATTCAGCTCTTGGCTTATGTTGATGATATTGTTGCTAGGAGTGTAAAAGTCCTGAGAAAAGTGTTCTCCTCTTTAGATTTGGCTGCTGAATGATACCAAAACCAAATATACAGAATACATGGTGATATGCTTAATCATATGAATATTGACATCATGAGCTTAAAATTGTACTTAGTTTTAATTGCCTTTGATCAACACAAAAAACGACATTACTTCTAAAATGCACAAATTGTATCATCATTGGCCAACTAAACATTTTCGGATATTGCTTTTTTCCAGAAAAAACGAAGTTTTTTATCTATAAAACTCGCATTTGGCCAGTCCTAATACATGGTTCAAAAACTTGTTCCTAATCAAAATTAGACAACACAAAATAGCAGTTTTTTAAAGAAAACTTCTAAGAAGCATTCTTGGTAGTGTGAAAGAAAACGGTGCAAGGCAAAGGTCTTTAAAAAAAGAAAAAGAATAGAATTCTAATAGAGTTCAATATTGTCAAGGGTTTTAAATTTAAAAGAATTAACTGGGCTACTCATGGATGAAAATGATCCAGTTAAGAAAATTTTGGTGTCTAAACACTTCACTAGCAAAAAAAAAAAGGAAGGCCAAAAATATGTGATGGCTCCATTCATTCTGCGGAACCTGATGTTAGAGTGAGCAGGATAAAAGAGAGTTCAGGTTAAGAAACAGGTTGTGAATATAACGATGAAAAGAAAAACTTACCAGTTGTTTTTTTCAAAGTAAAGTATTCGACCAGGTGCAAATAAATGGGATTTACAATAAATAACATCAAGGCTGGAATCCTGAAAAAAAATATTTTTATGAACATCAAAGGGTTGTAATCATTCAAGTATAGAGATATGCTATAATTTTTTTAAAAAATTTTCTGAACAGTATCCTAGAGAAACTTAACTAGAAACGTTTACTTTTCGAATATCATATCAAGAGTTTAAACCAAATCACGTTATTTAATTTAAAATTCAACACACAGAGACCACGACCAAGAAAATCACTGGATTATAAAATCAGCAAATTTAAAAATCAATTCTGCAAAAAGCATATGTAAAAAGCATCATTTAATAAAATCATTGTCATTTTGTAAAATCAAATTTTTGCTTGGCATATGTTTTAAAAATGGAAGAATGTGCTTTTTCTTTTCTGAATAATTAGAATTTTTCTTTTTTCATTTTTTGTAGCATATAAATAACAGATTTCATTCTGTCTCCTATAAGCAAAAAGAACAAAGTCACATATGTGAAACTTATAACTTCTAATTTTATTAATATAATACATGAATAATTCCAGTTTGTGTTTAATTAAAATTTCAAACATAAATTCAGTGAAAATAAAATATAAATGTAGTAAACAATTTGACTTATTCATTTATTACAAACATGATTTTAATAAATTTTGGGCACAGCATTGTAACAATTAGTTATCTTTAATACTTAACTAAATGGTTTTAACCATTTTAAATCGTTAGTATTTCAAAAATAAAAATTGACTCTCATATTCAAATATTAATTTAAAACTTCATAAAAATAGTAGCTATGGCAACAATTATATCAATATCAAGTATTTTCAAAAAGTAAAACTATTATTGTATCCTGAGCTTCATTACAGTACAAATGCATAGTTACAACCTACAATAGTAGGGTTAGACTTAAAAAAAGAAATAAATTAAAATTTGCAGAATTCCATTGATCTACTCACTTGGTCTATGCCTTCCTCATTTACAAAATGTAGGTTATCATGAACTTCTCGAACAGATGTCTTAGGTTTGCTACTGAAATATTTTGCAACATGATACCAACAAGCTGCCATCAGCAGTCTATACTGTAAATAAAATATGATACATATTATAGATACATTTTATTATATTAGCTTTATTTAAATAAACACAGTTTCAGTTTTGTTATAATCAATATCGGTTCTTCACACAACATATTAAAAATATATATATATTTACAATATCTTTGACTAAATTACTACTTTCTTAAAAATCTTTAAGACCACTACGTTTAAAAAGTAAATAATTAATGCTGATATGAATTTTCAATAATAATTTTTTTTTGTACTAATACTAAAATTTGGCTGATTGTCTTTGAATTCTATCCCTGGATATAACGTTAAAAAAAAATGCAGATTTTCTCTTTTATGAACATTATTTTTCAAACCGAATTAAGTACTAATTCAGGAATGTTAATGATCATAATAATAAATAATTATATAATAATAAGGCAGATTATAATATAAGCAGAGATAGACTAAGTATCAGAAAATAATACAGAATATTTTCTAATTAAAGTATACTTAATCATTCTACACAATGATGCGACATATTACTTTTAGCCAAAACACTTCTAAACATAGAAATAAATTTTTTTTAAACTCAGCTGAAAGGATATTAACCACACTGATGTGACTGACTTTCTCGATTAATAATACGATAAAACGTTTCTTTATAAGAAATGAATTCAAAGTACTTATTAATATAAGTTTTAACAGTCTTGAGAAGGCATAAACCTAAATACACCACACCCAAATAGTGGAGCTTCTTAAATGTTTCGTTTTCAATATAAATGTGTCTTACTTCTTATATATAGGCAAAATCTGTAAAAACGAAAGTTCTGTGGTCAGTCACTAAACAGTACCATGGGTTCAGGGACCCGGAGAAAATTTCGTTCCCCTTCAGTTTTTAGTCTAAATTGTGGAAGTGGCCGAACAAATGCGATCCCCTTTGCAGAGGATTAAAATTGAGATGGCATGTCTTTGGATAATCCTAAAGGATGTTTCCCAAACCATAGCCAATAACTCCTTTGCGAAGTAAATAAAGTACCTACCCAAATCTTAATTTTTCTTTACTTCAGAAACTGGGAATGAGGTTAAGCCGGTTCTGTAATGAAAGGAGCTGTCAAGTAACAAACACACTCCAGATCTGATGTTCGCTTAGATTTTGAATTGAGACAAATATTTACATTTTGGATAAAAGCTTCATAACAGCTAAACTTTGTTATGTCACAAAATTAAAGGATCATTTTTTGTCTATTGCACCAATCTATATCATCAGATGGTAAAGAAAAATCATAAACAGAAGTACTGCTTAGATTTTTTCTAAAAATAATTACCTTTGGAACTTTACATTCTTTCAGAGATTCAATTATTTCTTTCCTGAGCTTCCTTCCTGCCTCACCACATAACCGGGGCGACATATCATCTCCCACAACAACAGTGAAAATAAAATCTAAGCTATCTTCTAATCCAGAGAATGATATTGTGCCCATAGGTCCATAAATATAGCACTGCAGATTTGGGTATTTAGGCTTCAATAGGAATCCCAACACAGCCGCTGTGCTACCACCCAAACTATGTCCAGTTACGACAAGTGTGTAGGAAGGATTTTCATTGATAGTTACAACAAGAACGTTTGTGTCATCAATTTTCTTTTGTATGTACACTGCACTTCGTAGAGCACCTCGATGGCATTTTACGAAAGGTCTATCTTCAGATGGCAGGCACAGAGGTTCTGCGTCTATGTCGGTGATTATGTCAGAAAAGGACCCTGTACCACGAATTGCAATGATAATGGATTTTTTCTGGTGATCTAAAGCAACGTAGAAGGCTGGTTCATAGATGTTATTTTCAAAGGAGGCATACACAATGTCAGAGTCAGAAAACTTGGTTATTTTTTGCACTGCAGCAAAGTTGCAATAACAACAGCTGTCTATTTTGCTGGAATCATTTTCACAACACCTGGAATGTGAAAAATTATTCATTTTCAAAAAGATTTATAAAAAATAATCAGTCTAAAAATACAATTTTATGAGTTTAATTTATTACATTTCCTCAATTTATGTTGCTATAAATAATACTGTGAGCTCTTTTTTATTAAGTTTTTAAAGAAGTTAACGACTTTTGAAAATAAATCATATTATTCAGAATCTTCTGACAAACATTGTCATTAAGAATAAAATTAAGTTTAAAACATGCGCTTTTCTAGATTCTGAAAGCTGTTTCTTAATCATAGTAAACAGTAAGTAAAGAAGATAGTTCATTTTCATATAAGTCCCTGAACACATTTTAAACTCAGCAATGAAAATAAAAGATGTGCAATGTTTTTTAGCTGACTTGCTGTAAAATCTATTCTAAAGTTATCCCCAGGAAAAGCCTATCTTGCTGGAAAAGTTGCCATTAAAATGGCAAATGTAAAATATGTATTTAAGCTGCATCCTTTTGTTCTTGAAGAATATCAAAAATTTATAAGGAAATAGTTTACAATTAGCAAAATTTAGAAGGTAATTAGAATGTAGGTAATAAGAACTAAAACATTTGAGTATAAAAGCCCTTTTCCACCTTCCTTATAGTGAAATCTACTTAAGAAATGCTGTAGTTTTTAAACTGCACCATCCACGAACAAATAATATGCAGATAAAGATAAATGCAGATTAATAAGAATGATACATTCCTATTAATCGATTTTTTTTCTAAATATGTGCAAAAGTGGCTTGTCTACTTTTTTTTTAAAGTCTAAATTTTGTACATTAAAAAAAAAATTTTTCTTATGGATCACAGTACTTAATTTTTTTTCAGACTATAAAGGAAAACAGAAAAGTCTCACATACAGAGATTTAATTCTTATACAAGGCAGCTCCAATTCTCTGTACTTGGCAATCTTCAAATCGCTTTGACAGTTCTTTTAACAATGCTCTACAATTTGAGTTACCCTTTCTTGCACATTGGCTACTACTGTGTTTTAGTACAGCTTTGTATAAATGGTGTACTAATTTAGAGTGAAGTTCAGAAAGTATGCAACTTATACATTCTGTGAAACCTTTAATATATTACGATTAAGTTTTTGTTTATACACATTATGATTTGCTATAAAGGAATTTCAATGCTATTTAGAAATTAAATTTGAAACAAAGGGTTCATAGAATCGCCACACATACACAATTACAAATTTAAATGTTTGGTGACAAGTTTAAAGTCTACCATAAACTTCTAAAATGCATAATAGCCAGAGAAAAATGAAAAATAAGCATACCTAGCTGATCTTTTTTGATCAAATGCAACTCTCTTATCAGTTAATTAAGAGGTGTAATTAAAACCAAACTATAGGTCTAAATTGTTATTGAACCTGTGTTAATTAAAAATAATGCAAATTTTTTTTATACGAACCGTTCGTTTCTGCCCAAATTATATTTCAGTTTATGTCAGCTCTTTCGGGAAAAGAGGTTTCATTCAGAAATTTGTAAATGCGTACATTTCAGCATTCATGCTCATGACTGCTCACTCATGTTGTAAATTTCAGTTCTTCGTTATCAATGTGAAAAATAAATTCAGGGTGATTACAACAAGGAAACATTTAAAAAGTAATGAATGGATGAAGAAACAAACTGATTTTACTAATTTTTATCTTCCTATGTATATTTGTAAATGAAAGGAAATCTATCCAGAAGTCAAAATTGACCAACTAAAAGTTAAAGGAAATTAAAACCTTTAAAATTTCCTCTAGCATCATGAAACATTTACAATTTTAAAAATTGGTCTGGTGATAATGCATGATTTGATTAAACAACAGAATTGTATTTTATATGCATAAATATTCTGATGAGTAGATGTCATAAAATGAGTAAATATCCACAATAAGTTTATATCTGTAAATTAAATAGGGCTGGTTAAAAGCATATTTAGAATTTTCCTTCCCAGTTTCTACTCATTCAAAGTTGAGTTTGGTTGGGTAGAAAGAAATTCTTGAATAAAACATATTTTAATAAAAAAAAAACTAAATTCTGACATTAGGAATTAAAAATAAAAACAATACTATTATAATTATATATTTACTTTGTAGGTGATGCAAGTTTAAGAATATTCCATGGTCGAAAAGTATCAAAAAATGCAAGCCAGCCATAAGTGCTTTTTGCAATCCTTAAATAGTAGAGAGCATTTTCTGGTGTCATCCATTCTGGAGTTGATTTCGAACCTGGTGAAATTAATTACAAATCAATATTTATTTTATAGAATATGGACTCTGTGAAATTATTGTCACAGATTCCATATAATTTATGTTTACTTAGACCAGTGATTCTCAACCACTGTGTTGCAGCACTTTTGTGTGCGCTAAATTCTTAAAGTGCACTGCCAAATTTTAGAAATAATATAGTAAAAATTATAATGCCTTTTTTTTATTATAAGTTTAAATTAAAGAAAAGTATATATACATATACATAATATTATACATATATATTTACTTTCTATAATTTTTTCAAGCTTTAACAGCATGAACATCTTTGTTGGTGACAATTTTAATGTATTAAAATAAGTAGAAAATTTAATGACTATTAAAATTATTAATTAAGAAAAGAAAGCCGGCTAAATATTAACTCATAAAAATAAATAAAAGTTAAACAATTAAAACAACTTATGCATTTTATAGTTATAAAAACAAATTCAAAATTATTATCATAAACTATTTTACACAGTGTATTATACGTAAGCAAACAACTTATAAACTTATTTTGTTCTTTGTGTACCATCAAGTTCCAAAATCGCTAAATGTGTGTCGGGGCAAAAAAAGGTTGAGAAGACCATTAAGAGGCGGCTATACTGACGGAGAAACAGCTCGTTGCAAATTCTGTTTTACTTACATTAGTAGTTTAATGTATAGAAAAAAGTGAGTTTCTGGTAAATCATGAAGTTTCAAATTCTAAAAAAGATTTTTCAAAAAATGAAAATGCAAACAAATTATGGCAGTGTCTTGTAATAGGGAAAGAAGGGTGCCATGCCATAATTTGTTTGCATTTTGATCTTTTGAAAAACTTTGTTTTATTAGCAACTGAAATTTCATGGTTTATTCTTAATTTAACTGAACTCACTTTTTTCTCTACTTTAAATGACTAATGTAGATTCCATAGAATTACTTTATTGGAATCCACATTACACAGAACTTGCCATGAACTGTTTTTCCCTCTGTGTAGTGTCCTCTTAATGTGGTATAAGGTATATAAAAAATATTCGGAATTTAAGGCAAGATGTTGCAAGTTGTTTTTCTAAAAAATAATAAAGCCAAAAAATGTATTAGTTATTTATAAATTATTATCTTTACTCAGCTATTAAAACTTTCTGGATTTTTTAATTCAAGAGTTTCTTGGGAGAAAAAGAAGAAATAAAGTCCATTAAAACATTTAAAAATTAGCAGTGCATGACTGAATGATGCAAAACAAATTTATCATATCTTTGTTTAAAGAGAAACAATTAATTAACATTACCCAGTAAAAATAAACTAACTAATAAGTTTACTAAGTTAATGGCAAAAAAAACTTACTTAACCAAGTATCTGATTTTACTGAGTGTTGCATGTTGGGTAAATGCAGCCTCCTTTCTAAAGCATGCTTCTGACTTAAAGTAATGATACCAGCTAAAATATCAGTAGGAACAAGATCAATACCCTGAAAGGCAAAAAAAAAATTTAAACTTTAAACTAGAAAAGTTTATATATTAATTAACTAGTAAAGTATACTAATAAAAATGCATACTTTCATTTTACACTTGATTAGCACAAGTTAAAGTGAATTTATTATTTTTTGATACATGATTGTAAAAATGATTAAATTTTTTTTTGGCTTAGTTTCATAATTTAAATAGCAAAAGCAAAGTAATCCCACAACTGCTTGAATGGGCCAGAGGGGCCATGGTGTTAAGTGATAGTGATTAACGACAATGTGTTCAGCATTGTACACAGGTTGCTCTTACTTCCCAGACAAGCTGGTTCCCATCGATCTGAAGCTGGGTGGGCTTCAAGCCACCACTGAGGATTGAGCCTCAGTCCTTTGATATGACAGTCCAATACCTTAACCGTTGAATCATAGCAACTCAATTTAAACAGCATTTTTTTTTTTAAAATTAAAGATAGGTTTTTCTTTAGCTAGTAGATTATCAGGTTTTGTGGTTCTGGTCTTCTAATGGTTTATATCATACCCTCTTAAAATTAATATAGAAAAGTAATTTGGCTAGTAAATACATATTTTTTGTAAAGATTTATTTTATCCAAGACTGAAATAAAGTCATTTGTACATGTTAAGATGCTTGAATTTTGATAGCGAGCAAACTCAATTTTTTCTTCTTCAAATGAATGATATAATTACCAAAACAGGCATTTTATGTAAGTATTTTAAAATGACAAAAGTAATAAAAGAAAGAATTCACACAGGAAACATATTTATCTAAGCAATGGGTGAAATGATATAAAAATTATTTATAATTGTTGCAAAATTTAATTGGTTTTCAAATACTACATGTTTGCTTTTCTGTCAAAACTTTTTTATTGTTAAAAATTTTTTAAAAAAAAAACTGTTTAACACAATTAAATAAAAAAATAATGTAATAATTTGGCACATTGGAAATTTGTTAAATGACAACAGTAGCAGATATAATTCTCGTTACAGCAAGCTTCTTGTTATAAGTAAATATATATTTAATAAATAATCCCAAGAAACTGAATCAGTAAGATATTACTTGATTAAAAAACTTCTTTCTCTTCCAAAATATACAGATTGAAAATAACAGTTTCAAACACTAAAAAATATGTGCCCATTTCCAAGTTTTGCTGGACATGAATAAGAAGAAAAAGTGATTTGAAATATAAACATAAAGTTGCCAAGGAAAAATAGAAAATAAAGGTGGGAAACAACACAAGAAAAACCTCAGTAGTCAAGAGAGAATAAAAATAAAGATGGTAAAACTGAACAAGAATAACTACCATTGTTTGACTACTGAGGTTTCTCTAGTTCTGTTTCTCACCTTTATTTTACATTTTTTGTTAGAAACTAACTTTACATTTTATATTTCAAATCACTTTTGTTTCTTCTCATTCAACTGTCAGGCAAGTTTTGAAAATGGACACCTAATTTAGATCCCGTGAAACTTGTCATTATTACCAATTGGTATATTTTTCAAGCGAATTTTTTTTTTTTTTTAAAATTCAGTAGCATATATTTAATGATAAGATTTTATTTAATGTTGGTAAAAAGACTAAATATAATATAAATATTTATCTATTTCTTTTCTTTTTGTGTATTTTTATGAAACTTGGTACTTTACGAAGGGCAGAAATGTCTATTACAGAAGTGCTTTAAAAAAAAAAAAAAACGCATTTCTAAATCGTAACAAGATGTAAATAGAAATGAGGTGCGATACCTTTTGACATCATTGATATCAAGAAAAGTTGATTTCAATAACAAGTTATAAAAAAGGAAAATAAGATATGTGGATATGATATATATGTAGTCAAACAAAAGTGTATTCTTTAGAAGTGTGTGACAGGATTTCTAAAAATTGAAGAAAAATTTTATTTTGAAGGAATAGCTTAGTTGGTTGTCACTTAAAATTTTTTTTTATATAAAAATAAGGGATTAAAAATATAAAAAGGAAATTATGTTTGTTTTGTGCAAAGAAATAATATAATAAAATTTTTTAAAAGGAATAATAAATTAGTAATAATAAGAAATAATAATATACATAATAAGAAAATAATAAAATTATAAGAAATAATAAATTTCCTTACTGATTTTTTCTAAAGAAAAGAAATCAATAAGAAAAAAACTAAGGGATTAAAAATGTAAAATGGAAATTTTGCTTATGTGCAAAGAAATAATATAATAATAAATTTCATAAGAAATAAGAAATTAGAAATAATAATATATAATAAAATTATAAGAAATAATAAATTAGTAATAATAAGAAATAATAATATATAATAAAATTATAAGAAATAATAAATTTCCTTATTGATCTTTTCTAAAGAAAAGAAATCAATAAGAAAAAAATAAGGATTAAAAATGTAAAAAGGAAATTTTGTTTGTTTTTCAGCATTTAGAAAATGAATAAATAAAAATTTTTTCTATTCAAAACGTTTTCATATAACCATTAAAACAGAAAACTATTTCCTTCAAAGAAAAAATTTTAACAGAAAAAGGCAATAAATTTATAACTCATACAAAACATGCAACTTTCATAACTTTAATATTAATATTTTGACAAAGACTCTGAAATTAGTCACAATAGAGGACTTCTCGTAATATGCCAGACTCATTATTTTGAGCTTTTACAGTATTTATACATAGCTAGCTATAATCGGAAGCATAAGAAAAATTGCTTAATTTTGTCATTACTGCTTCAACAGACTTTTGAATATTTTTTTAGATTTTCCTTTATTTACATTTAATTCATACAAATTAAAGATAAGAAAGAAAAAAAAATTTGCATAACAGCTATGAAATTGTCGATTTCTTTTACAGTTGCTAAAAATAAATTTATATATAAATATAATTATCACCACATAAATTTAATAAACTATTGCTTTTTTTTAAAAATAAATTTATATTATGAAATATATACTCCTTAAAAATGGTTAGTATCAGGTTCAAACCAATTAAGTGTAGTTACAAATCCTTATTTTAAATACTTTCTAAACTTGTTGACTACTCTGACTTAATATTTTTTGTCTAGAATCTAGCAAAGAATAAAATACCATAAATTTTTAGAATAAAATACCATAATTAGAAAAAATTGCTATTTATAATAACTGATCATTAAGAAAATGAAGAAAAATCTGCTATAAAAGCTACAAACCTTTAAGAAAGAAGCTAAGAAGGAGGAGATTTCAACATAAATGAAATCACTTCGATTACCAATATCTGCACAACAGCAAAAAAGTTTTAACCTAAAAAATTTAAAATTGAGTATTAAAAATGAAAATTAATATATAGATATATATATATATCAGGACAAAAAGCTAAAAATTAAGACAAGTCAGAATAAAATATTTTTATCGGGACTACTATATGAGGAACTAATTTAATTTTAAAACATATATAAGTTTGTGAATGAAGAATTCAATTTAGTTTACGTTTAAATTTAGGAGTGGAAAAAAAACCTCCAAAACCACCTTTCTGCAACACTGTGACAATATAGCATTCAACTGCTTGAAAAGTAAAGCATTTAAATTTGATTATTATACATCATATAAATTATAGATATTGAATTAAATATTACATAATGATTTTTATGGATATTAAATTATAAAATGTAAATAATTTAACTATTATAGTACTTATCCATTTAAATAAAAAAAATAAAACCAAAAACAAGCAAAACGAAATTTTAAATTACTATTTATATTTAAAATTAACATTAAAATTTTAAAACAACCATTTTGATTTATTATTTTGAACTTCTTATTTTAAAATTTGTTTAAATCAATTTTATACTTTAATTGGAGTACTAATCCAACTGTCAATAATTAGCAATAAATGCAATTTGATTACTTAATACAATGTTACACAAGATTGATAATACATTAGTCTCTCTCAAGTGCTTAAGTTATATCAGAGCAGCTTTCCACTTATAATCAAGGGATCTATTTAAAAAAAAAAAAAAATTATGGAATGTAAATAACCCTTACCGGAACTTCCAGATAGATTTAGCTTTCTTAAAAAAATTGAGTGAATTAGAGTTTTGCTCTTTATTCCAATATTTTGAAGAGCCAAGTGAATCATAACCAACTATTATACCCATAGTTAACATTAAAATATAAATCCAAGCAGCAACAGTAGTTACCTATAATATAAAACAAACAAAATCTAACATAAGGTAAAATTCAAAATAATTATATACAAATTGTTATTTAATTTCATAATAAACAAAAAATATTTTTGTGGAAATAGTATAAAAAGTAATTAACTGAAAACTGGAATTAAATACTTAAATATAATAATAAATAATTGTGAAGATTTAAACCAAATAGCAATATCTTTTTAAAACGAGAATTTTCTCCTTGTAATCACAGTTTGAAACAAAATAATTAATTGTTTCAAAATTTTATTTTTATTTTAAAAACATGAAATACATATAGCATTAACTATATTATTAATTTAATGCATTGCTTAATTTTTTAAAATAAAGAGAAAACAATAATCAAATTCTTTTACCAAATTATTTGGATAATCTTTTAGGATAAAGCAAACTTGAACTCATATTAAACTTTTTCCTCACCTTAGTTTGAATAAAAATGTCCCAACTTTTTAGTTATGATGATTTTTAAAAGAATAATTCAATTATATAACAAACCTATAGCAAAAATTTATTTAGAAATGTAAAAGTTTTCAGAAGATGTTTATGTATAACGTGACTGAAAAGGCTTACTTTGACGAAAAGCTCTTTTACAACACACTTTCTATCCATTTCGAACCAGAACCAAATTACACACGAGGCTAAACCAATCTCTACTAGTACAGTAACCACTTTAATATATAAAACTTTAGTTAAACCACTTCTTTTGTGCACCTAAAACAAAGAAAAACAATGAATGAAAAAATAATTACAAAAAAGTGATTTAATTCAGAGTAAGTCAAAATGAATGCCCTAATTTAATAGATGTACAATGCTAGATGATTCATAAAAAATATGCATATATGCTGAGATAATATAAGCAAATTTTGGATAGTTACCAATAGATAGTGCTGGAAGTCCAATTATCATCAGAATTTTTATGAAAACACCTTTATAAAATTGCATTGCAAAAGCTTTATGTAAGAAAAGCAGATAATGCACTCTTAGCTTGGCCACCATAATTCCCAGATCTTACCTCATGCTATTTTTTATCCATGGGGTTCATAAAAAATTGTACCTCCAGGTGCAATGGCCATGACCAATTTGAACACCTCTGCTGTCACAGTGGCTATTGCCAGGATCGAAATAGGCATGTTGCCCGAAGACAGAAGGAGCATAGCACGTTGCCCACATAACAGAAGGAGCACATATTGAATATTTGAGAACATTGAAAATCTGCTTATACTTACTACCTTCTGCAAGTATATTCGTCTCTAATTATCTTATATCTTAGTATATAAGTCAACCTGTTATATAATACAACTCCTATTTTTGATTACTAAATAGCAACTTTCTGGTAAGTCGGGTGTCGATTAATAAAAAAAAGGTATGAAAAATTTTAAAATTAAATAAAAAATTATTTAGTTTACAAGTTAAAACCATTTAACATTTTTCTCTCTGCATATCATACATTTGCCCTCAAAGAAAATGCAAAATTAATCATATATAACATATTAAACTAGTTTTTGAAAGGGGTCAACAATACATTTATTACATCTTGCATAGTGCATCTATGAAATAAAGGCATTCATTTTGACTGACATTATAGGATTATAAATGTAACTGTTAAGATAAAAACTAAGGATTTTTTAATCCTGAAAACCCTTAATTAGCAGTTTGTGTCAGATGTGTCACTAATTACAAGCAAACTTAAATGGTATTGCTTCCATATTATTTTTTAATTATATATTTCAAAAATCATAGTTTGTAAAAAAAAAAGTTCCAATTCTCGCAACTTCTACGATTCTTTAACATAATCCTAGGGACACCTTTTTGGGAACTGCTGATCTACAGAATACTTTTTTAAGCATCTGATGTAACTTTATAGTCTTATAAAAATGAAAATCAATTGTGCAACAGAGCTGACAAATTTTAATTTCATGAAATACAAATTCGCAATTTATGTGGTGGAAAAGAAGAAATAAATATTAAGAAAGGTTTAACAATATTTTTAGACCTAACACACACAAAATTTATCAAAATAGTTAACCTTTTCAAGTGGGCGCAAAAGTAAGAAATCGAGATCCTCTGGTGGGCTCTTTCTGAGACTGGGGGATGAATTCAAGTGTGGTATTGCTTTTATGATGTTTTGTTACTTTTATATATATGTGGTATTGCTTTTATGATGTTTTGTTACTTTTATCTTTGCTGCACTGCTCTGCACTGCTATAATTACTTTAAAGTTTTAGTTTCTCTTTCATAAGTTTTCACCTGCCCTTTTCTGCCCTTAAATAATTTAGCCAAAAATAAAAAAAAAAAGAAATAGCAAGTATAGCCCTACTTATTTTGTGATGGTGGTAACAGCCAATAAGAGTTGAGTATGCTTTGGGGGCTTGGTTAGAGGAGGTGAGAGAAAAGGCAAGGACACACATGGTTTTGGAGAGCTGAGGTTAAGATACAAAATATGAGGATCCTCAACAGCTAAGTTATATTATAAAATTTTCTATCACCCNTATATATATATATATATATATATAAAATTGTAGTGCGTCATTGCTTTACATTAATACTTTCAACGTATTATGAAACATTTAAACATTTTACTGTTTAAAATGTAAAAATATTCTTACAGATTTGAGGAATAGTTAAAAAAAACTTTGTTCTTTGGAATATTGTTTCAACGGGTAACTCAGTTTTTGAAAATTTCAGTTTGGTATCGCTGGCGTTATTTAAATAAGTTATTAAAGTTATATCTATTTTTTATAAGCTCTTTGATGCCATATTAAAAGGATTGGTTTATTTACATGTTTCCGCAAAAAATATACAAGCTAATGAGGTGCACAGTGATAATAAACACTCTATTATTGAGTTAAAAAACGTCGGAAATTTCAAGGACCAAAGGGAAAAGCTCGATCTACATCCATTTTTCACGTAAATAATGGATAGATCTTCCTCTCTTGCATTTTGGGGATTACTATGTTTAAAGTGTGAAATCAGTTCTTCCTGAGAGTTATCATGCAGTGAAATCGGGTCATAATGCGGAAAAAAACCCTTTTGTTCGCTTCTTTGAATCAATTTTTATATACATGAAGAGTTCTTTTTCGTGGTCATAATTTTTTTAATTATAAATATCTATATTATACATTATAAATATCAGTATTTTAATTTATAAATATTTGTAACATTGCTGAAAATTTAATATCTCATCGAAAGATAATAAATCTTAGGAAAGAACATAAATAGTTGTAATGTCATATTTTTGTAGACAGGTCTCTTCAGTCTGAATTAATAGTGAATGGATTTAAGTCATAGCCGATGGAAAAGAAAATATAGGAAATTTAATTTGAAATCAACTCTTTGAATGAATTATTTTATTTTCATCTTTTTGATCTATCGACTTTGAAAAATACCGGTCACTTCAATAAATGATAAATATTTTTTCTCTTTATTCAGCAGAATCATTTATTTATTATTGTTATTATTATTATTGATAATAATAATGAAATAAGAAAGCAAGGTAAATGAGGATAATTTTGCCCTAACTCCCGGCTAATTTGAAAGATCCTCTCTTGTTAAGAAAGTAAGATCATTTCGATTGAAAATTATGTTATCAAATAAATTCTTCTTATTTTATAAATTTTTAAGATTTCTTAAAAAATTATAAACTATAATAACTTTGTTAATTATTTAAAAATAAATATACAAAAATTTTTAATCAATTTTCAAAATAGTATATAAAAGTTTATATCATTCCTTTAAAAAATATTTTATGCTTCAACCGAACTCTAAATTTAAAACACAATTCTTAGTACATTTATCCCTTGAACTCTTAGTTAGAATCTAATATGCGTTCTAAATATCTAACAAAATTTTTCTTCAACTTCCTTTATGTCTTTTTAAAATAGTTCCAAAAACGCGAAAACTCATAAATATTTCAGTTAATGTGCTTCAGTTGCAAATGATTATCATATAACAATCGGGCTCATTTCTTTTATTTTGCTGCAAATTTCATGAAAAGTAAGCACTTTATCGAAACTGCGTAGCATATATAATTTTTTTCCCTAGCATTTTTATATTTTTTTTAAAAAACATAGTCATTCACAATTGACTTCAACTTACTCCTGTAATAGATTTGTAGAATGTTATTGTTCAAAAATTTAGCTTCAATCTTATAAAAAGATACAAAACTGAGATATTAAAAGAATTTCTAGAAACTACAACTGAAAGTTAAACTGTGTGTAGAAAGAGGGAAAGAAACATGAAAATCGCCACAGAAGGAAAATGGTTTTCTTAAGAAAGTTAAAAATAGCGTTCATGATTTCAATTTCTTAAACATAGAAAATACATTAGTAATTATAAATTATATATTTATAAATGTGACATTTAAAATATTTTTGTATCTAAAAGTATAAATACTCTTCGGTAGTATTAAGTATACATATTTCTCTTCGGAAATGCAGATATTTATTTAAAATCATGTAAGAAATTTTTTTTTAAACTGCAGGAATTATAATCAAAATCTTAAAATTCTAATAACTATATTTATACCACGAATTTAAATCAAAACCTAAAAAAAACTATTTATTTGAGTTTATGTAAAGTATATTGCTTTGATATTTTATTTCAATTTGATTTAATTTACTTAAAATAGCGCTTTTCGATTCTGATTATTCCATATTTTTTTATATACAATTGAAAATATTCATTAAATTATATTTGTAATAAAGGAATTAATTTATTCAAAATATAACTCACAAGTAGAACGAAAAAGTTTGTACCAAAAAATGGCAACAATGAAACTGACTAAAAAAGACGTAAGAAAACGGCAGACAAACAAAAAAGTTCCCGAACTTGGTATAGATGTTTGAAGGTAGGTGGGAAATGTAAAGAAACCTTTCTCCCCTTAGCTTAAAAAGGTGAGACCTCTCATAGTGACTAAAACAATAAAACAAATCCCACTGTAACTTGATCCTGTCTCTTAACTGAGGAGGAGATTTTTTCCCCTATTCTTACGCTGAAAGTGTCACATGCCCACCACAGGACCCCAAGATCAGATGTGACAACTGCTGTCACAGCCCCCCGGAAAAGGTTAATAGTATATATTTCATAAATTTTTTCTAAAAATAATCTTTGTTAATAGCATATATATCACAAAAAAGCTCAAAAGACCATAATTGGTTGATTCATGTTAGATTCTCCTACAAAACATAGATGACTATCATGTTTTAATTTAAAGAATGAATACAACTTAAAGAAATTAATAAAGATAATAAACAGTTCTCATTATTAGACAATCTAAAAAAATATATTAGACATTTAAAAAAGAAATTAACAGGCGTGCAGTGAATTTTGGATATAGTAGTTTGTAATTAATTACACTAATATGTTAAACAGTAAACAAAAAAGCATGAAAAGAACAAAAAGTAACAAAATCTAATAAAATTGACATAACTTTACCTCCATAACTGAGCCTCTAGAACTAACAAAACAAACAGCAAAAGAAACAATTGCAGAAACAGAAAGATCTCCAATAATTACAAAAAGAAAATAATTTAGAAGATCTGAGTCATTGCAGTTTTTGATATTCAGCCAAGTAATTGCTAATGAAGTTGATAGCCTGGGAAATAAAATATAAAATGATTTTTTTACTCTATACTTTTGTTTCATACAACTATTTATCCTAATTATTTCATTTTTAACCAAACAAAATTTCTGAATCTAATAAATAATAAACAGAATCTTAAAAATAACGCTTATAACACACTTATATGTATCGCATTTTTAAATTTTATGAGATATGATTATATTCAAATTTAAAATAAATTATTTTTTTTTAAATCATGATATATTTCAATTATTTTAATAAATATTGATTAATAATACATTTTATTCAAGCAAATACAACTAAATTTAAAGACAGGGAAAAGTACACAATTAGTTTTAAGTATTCTTGAAAATTTTCCACATAAATTAATTATATTTCGAAGCGATTTCAAAATAACTTGTTTCAAAGTAAAACAGATAAATGACATTCAATAAATAAAATAAGTAATGTAATCAAATGATATGAGTTTTATGCTTTCAAATAGACTTGAGAATTAGGATTTTTAGTTAGTAACCAATGGCCGATAAGCTCTATTTATTTAGTAGTCACTTTTTCCTCAAATCTAATGAATCGGTAACTGATATTAATAGGTCCTTTTAATTTAATAGATATTTTTGCATACTGCTTTTTGCTTGGATTAAATACTTTAAAAAAAAATCACATTAGAAATACTTTATGACAATAAAAAGATAATTCAACAGCACTATTACAAATATGTAAAAAAATATAGTTGTACATTCTAATTTTGTTGTTGTCACTTATGTCATTTGACAATATCAGCAAACCTGCTTGAGAAATCAAATAATTTTTTAAGGCAGAGGATGAGTTTCTTGTCTTTTCAGTGGCGCCATTTATGGCCAAGAATACGTCTTCAACCACACACACGTCACAATTCATTTATAGGGTGGAGTCATTCATACATCATTCATTCATCCACACATCGTAATTTTGACCTGAGAGCAATCAATCTCCAATTCAGTACTCCACGAAATATTGGTTTTGAGAGCTGGAAGATTTTGTCACCCCGAAAGATTTAACATGCACCAGTCATCATTTAATATCATATAAGATTTTTCAGTTGGCGGGATTCAAGCTCACGTGCTCAAGAACACGAACCCAAAGCCCTACCAACCAGACTGTCCAACCGGACATTCTGTATATAAAGAATTTTATGTAAAAATTTTTGCGAGGAAAAATACATATAATTTCTATATTACAACTTTTAAATATGTGAATTGTTAAAGAACACCCCTTCCACCATAAATCAATGGATACTGAAGTATAATTTTAATTTTGGCAACACTGGAGATTTTAGTGAATTTTTTTTTTTTCAAGTCTCTTTTCTATAGTGATAGACTTTTATCATTAAAGATTTTTAAAAAAGGCAATGGGAAAAGTGGCCAGTTGTTTCTGTAATTTTAGTCATCATGTGACAAGTGGTTATTTTTAAGTAATTATTTAAAAAAAAACATGCATAATGCTTTGTTTAATTTTAATAGACATTGCAGTTAGTCAACCTCTTAAAAAGTTTAAAATATATAATGAAGGAGAAAATGTTACAAACCACATTAATCTTATGAAGGCTTCAACAGCAAATGGTATTACTAAGTCATCATCAGCAATCAGCCATTTCCTCTTGAAGAATATCAATGCAGGCATTTTTTAATAGTTTATGATTCAAATGAATCTAAAATATAGATAAATATTAGAATTGTTCAAGTTATAGTAATACTTAAGTATTCTTTATCAAACTACAATTTTTTTCATAAAAAATAATTTTAAAGATAGATTTTGGGATTATAAAATTTTAAATGCGTTTTGCAACTACTACTAGTGATGGTATTCAAAACATTCAGGAAATAAAAATGTTTCAATATTTTTTAGAAGAAAAAAAAATTAATAATTAAAGATGAAAAATAGTTATTTTTCTTTGAATTACAGCAGTCTGAATTGTTTTTTATTCCTCTCAGGAATTCAAAATATTTGAGACTTAAATTTCTAAAATTATATTCTTTCAAATTGCAGCCAATACTCAATATAACAACCCCTGCGAAACAAAAAAAAAAAAAAAAAGAATACTATAATGTGAATTCGCTTTATCGTATATGCATAAAAATATTGCATTGGATTTATTTTGACAAAAACATGTCACAAAATTGACAATAATCTTTTGTCCATCAAGTGCAAAAACCACGTAATATAATACATAATCATTGAAGAAACTTAGTTATTTTTTTTGTAACTACTTCATTAAAAATGTAGTGAAATTAAAATACTTTTTTTAAATAAAAATAATGACTACTTTCGAAAGGTAGTCACTGTTTAACTTTATTAAAAATAAGAATTTTTCTGGAAGTTTTAATTTACACTCAAGTTCAAAATTAAAAAAAATTTGAACATTAAAAGAAAAATTCGTAAAAAGTGATTTAGAATAATAAATTGGCTTATTTATGCAGAAAAATAATTAAGATATATGTTTATATGAGCTAATTTATTATTTTAAACCATTTGTTAATGACTTAATTAACCTCTCCAGTTCAGACAGCTTGTGTTTATGCTCAGCCTAAAAAAAAAAAAAAAAAAAAAAAAAAAAAAAAAAAAAAAAAAAAAATTCGATTATCAAGTGAAAAAAAAAAGTTTGTGTTCAAGCATTTCATACAGTAAAACTGAGTTCTAAAAAGCTGCAACTACTGAATACATGCAAATATGTGGATAGGATCATGTTGAGCTTTTTATTAAATTGGTCAACAAAAATAATTTATAAGATAAAAAAATATGTTTTGCATGAATTGTTGAATAAAGAGTATTTTTATTATAACTATTTACTAATGTTAATTGCATTTTTATTTACAAATTAATTACGCGAATTGCATGCACACTTAAGTATATAGCTACAAACACAAATAAAGCATTGTTAGATTTCTATTAAAAACATTTAATCATAAAACTGTTAAGTCAAATTCAGATCAAAAGTTTAATTACAAAATCGTTTTTATTTCAAATAAAAATAAAAAATTTAACCACAAAATAATTTTCTTAAACACTCTCTCTTGCTTATACAATTTTACTGTATGAGTAAAATTTATAACTTAAGAACGTAATCATTAAATGTAACACTGAAAAAAATCTGTGGTGTTGATGTAATAGAAATCAAAGTTTTAATAAAATATTTTATCTAGCAACAGATAACACTTTATAAAACAAATAAAATAACATTAATCATTTAAATATATCAATAAATAAAGGCAATAATTTTAATAAGACTTCCATTTTCCTTTGCAGAATACAAAGTAGTATATATCCAACTCTGTAGTTACGAGTAAAAACAGAGATGTTAGAAGAATAGCCTTAAGTTCACAATGGGGAAAACAAAAGGAACACCAACTTTTGAATTGTTACTGTTTTTTTTAATTCCTACTATTAGTTACACACTCTCCCTACATCTTGTTCAAATTTTCAATCATTAATAAAATACTTTTTATTCATCCACTCAAGTTCAAATACATTTTTTTTTTGAACTTGTAGTGCATGACACTTGATGTTAATACAGTTTTTTCAAATATTAATTCATTCATTAAATAGGGATGAGCAAAAAAAGAAATGAATTTTCTGATTGGTCAAGCGGTAGACATTGTTTTAAATTTTACTATAAGCGATTCAGTTTTTCACATATTTTAAAAATAAAATCAGTGATAATTTTCAACTTATAGTTCTATTTGAACAAAAAAAATAGTTTATTGTACACATTTAATTATTTTATATTCGCTGTGTCAGATAAATTAAAAGAACAATATGTGGAAGCATGTGTGGTCCATGTCACCATATTTATACTTTTATAGTTGTTTGTTACCATACGCCTTTTTTTTCTTTCAATTCCAACTATTAGTTCATACTCTCTCTATATATATATTTATATATCTTGTTCAGCCGGCCAGGTGGCCGAGCGGTTAGCATGCCTGACTGCGAAGCCAATGGCTGAGGGTTCGAATCCCGCTCTGGGCATGGATGTTTCTCTCTGTGTTGTCCTCTGTTGTGTGTGATGTGTGAATGTGGCCCGCCCTATGAACGGGTTTGTGGCAGTGTGGCGTGGGTAATGTTGCTCGCCTCCGTGACTTAGGTTCACAGGTGCCCACTGGGTAATGCTAAATGAGCAACACTTCCGGCATCTTCCGAGGTGAAGAACGAAAGTTCAAGTGCCTGCCGTTATTAAAACAAATATATATATATATAGATCTTGTTCAAATTTTCAATCGTTAAAAAAATACTTTTCATTCATCCATTGAAGTTCAAATAAAATTTTTTAAACTTGTAGTGGATGACACTTGATGTTAATACAGTTTTTTAAATATTATTTCATTAATTAAATTTAATTAATTTATTTTAATTTTATATGGGAGAAAATTTTTCAATTATTTTATAAAAAGTAACTAAAATAAAATTTTTCTATGTTGACCTAAGTAGGAATTGACTTTAATTTTTTTATATTACTTGTTATAAAGAATCAAACTTAATGGTAATTCTAATATGCTCAGCCACAGCGTCATTTTCATTGCACAGCTGATGAACTAAAAGACTATCATCAATTAGGTTCTAAACATTATTTGTGTTTAACTTTGTTCCTCTTCTAAACTAACGTTAAAAGTAGTTACTAGAAATGGCTACAAACTACTGATTTTCTGCATCAATCTACTAGCTACACTAGATTTTTAGAAAGTAACACACCTATACTACAAAGTATGAAACAAAAAAAAAAAGAGACTATAACAGTTTTGCTACTTGTAGCGTGTAAGTCCTAATTACTGATAATATATTAAAGGTTAAAAATATATTTTAATTATTTCAAACGACATCCTATAATATAATGCATTAACTTTAGTCAGTGAATAGCACTTTTTTTAGATTTTGAATTTTTTCCCCATAAGAACATAGGAGTGAAATCAGAACATATGCCTTTAGAATTACATCCTCATTTTAAATTAAAACTTTATGGATGATGAATATTTTAGTAATTTGTGACTTTGACATTATACCTTGACCCAGTTAAAATTTCTTTTAAAGAATGCATCTTATTTTAAGATTTTTTTTTTAAAGAAAATTACTGAAATTCATTTTACAATTTCTAAAATATCTACATAAAAATTATTTTTAATAAAAAAAGGTTTCAAACAAAACAAAATATGAAATGAACTTAACAGTAATAACAAAGCATAATTAAAAATATTATATACTGATATGCACAAAAAATAAAATACAGAAATGATGAAAATTGAAGCAAAACTGTTAACATTTAAGACATTTTTTCCCCCTCACTACTTACCTAGGTTTAAAAAGTTCTCTTTCTCTTAAAATAGTAGTTGGATCATTTTTTAAAATAAATCGATTAGAGATGAAAAGTCAATCATTTTAAGCTTGTAAAGGAACCACATAACTTAAATTTTAAAATTGATCTGAAAAAAAAAAAAAAACATAAATCAGTAATAAGCTTAAATCATTAGTATGCAGTTCAAATTTTATACCAATTTAATAGAAACATTTATGTAATGAATATGATTTTATGAGAGAGTGTTGAATGATTTGAATGATGAACCATCTGTATTTCTAACTAATCATAAAATAAAAAAGTTCCGAGATGAATTTAATTGTTGTTCTTCTCTAATTTTACATAACTTTTATAAATAGAAGAGTCTATAAAATGTCATGCTTTTTAAATAAAAAAAAAAGAAGTTAAAACTCTCTTAAGAAATAAAAAGCTAATTTTAATTTAAGCTATTATTTACAGCCATACTATTTAAAATGTAATAATTTGCAAGTACAAAAGATTTAACCAGAATTTTAAAACCATAAAATTTCAAGTGGGTAAATATGTAACCAAGGCCATTTTTAAGGGGTAGAAGACAGGGACAATTGTAATAATAATAGTATATTATTTTAAATGATCAAAAGTAAACACCTAAAGTAATCTGTACTGTAGTTTACTTAAGAAAAAAATAACCCTGTCATTTATTTGTAAAAAATATTAAGCAGCAATAATAATCAAAATTAAAAGAAAAATCAGACATTTTGTCAAATAGCTAGAAATAAATAAAAATGTTTTTACTAAGTTTATTTATGATTATCTATTAATCTAGACAAATAAAGTCGATCATGAAAATTTTATAGCTAGACTGCAGAAGAACAGAATTCCACTTTGTTAATTGAAGATACAGGCACAAGAAATTATTACCACGAATAAAGAAAAAAAGGTAAACAGACATACAAAGAGAAAACATGTTTTAAAAACAAGATGCGCTTTGAAAATTTATTGACAGGCAAACATACATTAATTAGGAATGCAATGAATATTCAGCCACTATTCTGTATTTGGCCCTCTTGCCAAATATTTGGCAAAATGGGCCGATTTGGCTAAAGGTTTTTAATGTTTAGTTTTTTCTTTTAATTATATTCAGGCAATTCAATTTTATCGTTTTTTCAACACTTCATATTCTAAAAATTGTTTTTTTGTTGTTATTTTGTTTTAAGTATGTTAACAGGTGAAGCATGTTAACAGAACGTTTTTAACAGACTTTATTCTTTTATAGTCACTTTTTTCTTGTGTGGTAAAACAGATAACTGTAATCTTAAAGTTATACTTCAAAACTATGAATAATTTTCTATTCGTTACCCTTTTGATTTTTTCATCAACTTTTCTTTTTATCAGCGATTTTATTGTGACAGCATTTTCTAACAAGCCTGTCTAATGAACGTTATTATTTTACGTTAACTTTTTTTCTAAAAATACGGCAATGTGAATAAGTTACATTAAGATTTTTAGGTTAAATCTATCGTTTAAAAATTAAGAATTTTATTTTTGTTAGTTTATCTAGCTTTGTCTTTTCAAAAAACTTATGTTTTTATAGACGTTTTTACTATGATGCGGAAATTTAGAGGGTCTTTTTAAAGGCTATAATGTTCTTTTTTCATCTTGAAAATATGGTCCTTGGAAAACTTAAATATTTAGCTTTAAAAATTTTTTTCAAAAATTAAGATTGGTCTTTGTTTTTAATAGGCGTTTCATGATAGCGCTGCATTTTTAAAAGTTTTTCTGTTAGACATTATTTCTCTTAATGTGTTATGGATAGTTTTTGCTCGAAAATATTATTTTTAGCATTAAAGCTTTGTTTTAATAATTAAGATTTCGTTTCTTTCAACTTTAGTGTTTCTTAAAAAATATGCTAGTCAGTTTTTTGTTTATCCTAAATATTTCTAATTATCTTAATATCTAATTATCTATAGTTTATTTAACATTCTATTAGTTTTTTTTCCCTTTACCCCATACCATTAATACAGCAAAATTTTAAATAATGATTAAACTTATTTCAATATAAAAATGATCATTATTGATGATATTTTATTTTAAAAAATGTTGCTATTCGGCCGAATATTCGGTATTCAGCCAAATCACTGTCAGTTACATCCCTACTATTAATGAATGATCAGTTATTAAAGCATTTGCACTTAAATCTGAGAAGATAACTTAATATCAAGATACATAAAAAACTGACCGGAATAAATACTTGCTAGAAAACTTAGAAATTTATAACTGTCATAGAATGAAGCATTTAGCATAGAAATTCAAAACATAGAATAGTTACTTGATATTGCACACTTTTTCAGTTCATCCTTTTAAGGTAGAGATGAAATTACTAATTTCATTTTAAAATTCCAACAAGCCAAGCTTTGAAGATAATTATTTGATGTTTGGGGATTTGAAGAATACTTTCACTTGTAATATGTGTAGAAATATAAAGAATTTAAATTAGACATCCAAAAACTTAGTGATAACATAATGTCAAGACTAGTTTTTTTTAAATTTGTGTGGGAAAATAAATAATTAAACAACGTGAAAAGTAGGACGATAAAAAAGAGAAATGTCAAGGAAAAAGGAAAAACCGCAGGTTGTCAAATTTCATCATAAGCAGACGAACTATACTTGCGGTTCCAGTTATAATTTTATATTTATATATTGTTAAATAAAAAAAAAATTTGCTTACGTCTTCCATTGAAACCTTTTTCAACTTTTATATGAGAAATATTTATATTTTGTTAAATAAAAAAAAATTTTGCTTACTTCTTCCATTGAAACCTTTTTTCACTTTTGTTTGAGAAATAGGGCTATTTCAACTAGTCCATGCGAATCCCGCAGGACCGTGCATATATTTGCAACAACTCGCCGGATGCGGTAGTAATATGTCATACAGTGTGAATGCTTAATAAATTAAGTTGAATGATACCCTCCTGTTTCCACTAGCCCAAGTAAATCCAGATTAAAGCGTAATCTAGATTTCAGTTGGTCACGTGATGGATTAAGTCTGAGTGAACTGGATTACAGTTGATCTAGTTTGAGAAACTAGATTAGCGCGCGCAAATCGAGATTCGTCTTCGAAAACGGAAACAAAAATGGATAAGCAAAGGAAAATGTCTTGGACAGATAGTGAGACGGAGTTGTTAATCAATTTGTGGAAGACGCACCACAATGACTTGCTGAAGGCAAAAAGAAATAAAACTGTTTACGAAAGAATTAGCAACGACATGAAATTTTATTCTTTCAATAAATCATCAGTAGCTATTCAACTAAAGTTGAAGAATTTGACAGCTAAATTTAAGTAAAGCGCGAATCGCTTTGACGGACGATCGCATATGCGAATCACTTCCACTGAGAACGCTACATTACTGTCACTTTTTTCAAGGGGACCCTTTATTAGCTTAGTTATCATTGTGAAACGTGCAATAGAAGAAAGAAAAAAAAAACGGCGCCTCCTGAATAACTTTTGATGTAATTATTGGATCTTAACGTTCTAGGGCTCAATCTTACTGGCTTGAGGGGGTGAAATATGCTAATTAATTAGTGCATACGGTATTTTAATTTACGAAATCAGACACAAAAACGTACTCTTTTATGAATAAACCTACCTTTTTTCGACGGATTCGGATTTCTGACCATCCAAATATAGGAGGGTGCCGCAATTAGGGTACTATGGTCCCCATATATGGGTCAGGAGAGCTGTCCAATGTTTGGACACCTTAATGTTATAATTTTACTTTTTGCGTATGTCTCCATACCTCGAGAACTTTATAAACGAATCAAATATATTTGTGACCCATTCATGACATTCGTTTGCCCAAAGACAATTCAATGCAAAAAATAAATTTTAGTAAATATTTATTATTTTTTATTATTTTATTTAATAATAGTTGGAAAATTTTTGAATTGTAAGGTATATAGTTTTTTTTTATATCATTTTCATTTAACTACTACTATAACTACATAATTTTAAATGACAAAATATAAAAGTTGAGCGAAATCGTTTCTGAGAAATCAAATTTAAAAAAAAATTGCATCTTTACAACTAACATGAAAGCCATAGTTTAGTACTTAAAATGTGTAGTATATATTTTAGTATCTCTTGTGCGATGGGTATTTGTATCCACTGCTTCCTAAGTGTGTTCACATACCTACGCTTAACGTCGTTAGTTGTGAAACAATTTAAGTAAAAGTTCGAAAATGTGTTTTTTAATACTTATAATCTAATGATATGAAGAAAAAAACCTCGATCATTTATTTTATTATTTATACGCGCCAAAAAAAAGCCTGAAATTTTTGTCAGAATTCGGATTGTTAGTGTTATATTATTAAAATGAAAATAATACTAAATATTAATATTAGTGATGACAGATATAGATCATGAATTATAGCTAGGGGTACCAAGGAGGACAAGTCATCATAGTCATTTATAGGGGGGATACTTTTTAAAAATATTTCATACAATTTTGTTGTTCAAATCTGTAGATTAGATTTAAAGAATATTTTTTACTATTTAAGTGGACATTTTTGAATATTTTTTTCGGGGGGGGGGGGGAAGATNGGGGGGGGGGGGGGGAGAAAGATTATACTTTTTAGAACCTCTTTTGGTGGAAGATATTTTTCTAGGTAAATTTATTACATCAATAATGCACTATTTTACAATCACGTAAAGTAATAAACAAGAAAAGTGCATTTACAACTTGTGGTCTAGTTGGAAGGGAACGAGAATTTTTTTCGGTGATGGGTGAGACATCAACACCTTTTTTTTGGGGGGGGGGAATCCGTTTTTGGGTGGGGATTATTCTTTTTAGCTAAATTCATCATATCTTCAACTTAAAACTTACATAATAAGAGAAGCACATTTATAACTAGTTGACTGTTGTTGTTGTCTCTTATGTCACTTGTCAAAACTGACAAGCTTATTTTAAAGCTGAAGGACGTGGTTCTTTTTGTTTTCCAGTGGCGCCATCTATGACCAAGAACTCGATTTTGCGACAGACATACGTCACAGCCTGTTTTACAGGGAGATGGTCACATTCACTCACCTTCTATCCATCCGCAGATCGTAATTCTGACCTGAACCAGAACACGATCAATCTCCGATCCAGTACCCCCTTAGGTAATGGTCTGTTATAGGAACTTGGAGGACTTTGTAATCTCGACAGATTTCATGTACACCAGTCACCATTTAGTACACGGGAAGTCTTCGGCCGGTGGGGTTCGAACTCACGACCTTTTGAACATGAGCTAAACGCCCAATCAACCAGGCTATTCTGGTTAAACACTTGGATGAGTTAAACTCAAACATTAGCATTAATTAATATTTTTTGTGGGGGAAGGAAAGATTTGAATTAGGGAAGACTTGTATTTAACTGCTACAAATCATTCTGCGGGCACAACATTTTCAGTTATGCTTAAGAATCGGTTTTCTCTCAGGGAAATGGAAAATAGCCCTGGCATAACAGTTCGGAAAAAGCAAAGTAAAATGAAGCTTTAGAAAATCCGCCGGGAAAAAATATCGAGGCACATAATTGAACCTGGATTAATTAAATATTACGAATTAATTAATTATTATTTTATTTCATTAAATATTCATAAGTTTATCAAATATTATTTTAAAATTAATTAATATACAAAAACTAGTCTGAAATTTGTGGAAACAAATGTTCACATTTAATATTTTTTAGCACTTTTATTTCATATTCTTTCATGAACTTTAAAAATATTTTAATACCAATAATTACACTAATCGTATTGTGATATGATCATCAAATAAAAATAAGATATTTTAAACAATATTTTTTAAAAAATATACTGCATATTATATTGAATTGCATATTATAATGAAATACAGTCGGACCTCTATTAAACGAAGTCGATAAATCCCGATAATATGTTCGTTATATGGAAAATTCGTCAAATAGAAAATCACCATTTGAAATACTTAAACAGGTTTTAAATTCATAAACACGTGACATAATTAAAATAACCTTTTATAAACTTTTATCGTGTAAATTATTATCTTCTATTTATTTTATAAATCAACCATAAAAGAAATCTGCAAGGTAAGCAAGAATAGAGAAAAGCATTATCTAGTGTTACACTATCATGCTACATACATTTTCAACTAAAAAAAAGCTAAATTTATGTACAAAATTATAGTTGTATTTATTATAAAAGTTATTTTAAACATACATTACCACGTGCATTTAATTGCTACTGATAAAATTCATTAATTTTGTTCAAGTTTTTCATTTGAAATGAAAAAAAAAAAAAAAAAAAAAAAAAAAAAGAATAGGGAAAGGGATTTTATTGCTTTCGCCAAAAATTAAGTGACTTCGAAAATCAATTCAAGGTCATTTCCACCACAAAATGCGTAAACAAGTTTGAAATGCTCAGAAATATTTTGGGAAATAGGGAAAGTGGATCTCAAAGAAAAGTTCGTTAAATAGAAAATTCACTTCGCTATTTGGAAGTTATTTTACAAGGAAACTTCCGAAATGTTCTTGGTTCCTCGAAAAATAATCGCAAAATAGAGAAATTCGCAAAATGGAAGTTCCTTAAATAGAAGTCCGACTGTATATCTGCTCTAGGTTTCAATAAAAGTATCAACAATTTCCGGACTATTTGCCGTAAGATGTATCTTTCTCCATAAAAGGAAATTATCTTTATTATCGATCGAAATTTCGATCTTTTCCGAATAGCTAGTGTGCTTAAATTTCGATAGAAACTGTGCCCTTTCCAATACAAGCTACTTTTTTTTTTTTTTTTAAATACTATGAAAATGTATAGCCACTTTTTGGTCCTAAAAACATTTTTTTTTGTTGAAAAACTACGTTTTTCAAATAAACTAAGAAATTGAAAATGGGTTTGCCAGATTTAAAATGGAAAACGTAGGGTAAGTCACTCAGATCACCACCGAATGATAAATTTTTATCACCGCCGATAAACCACATATACCTCTTTTGATAATAATGCACTATTTCTTTTACTTCCGACAAAAATAGAATAATTTTCACCTTTTTTCAATCTACTTGAATAATGTCGCTTTTTCAAGATATTTATTTTAATTTGCTATTTTATGAAATTTGTTATTAATTAAGATATGCTTCGAACTTGTAATAAAAACAATTTGATTACAAATTTAAATTCTTTGTTATTCCTTTGACGATATGCCAAATAGAATTATTTAAGTTCAAAGAATAAGAATTAATCTAGAAGAATAAAACAGGGAAAAAAAAAGCGACCTTGTAATATCTGTTACATCAACTAATAAAGGAAAATGAAATTATTGCTTACCATCTGGAAACGCTGCTTCCTTCATTTTGAAGATATAATTATATTCGTGATAAAACATCGACTGATTTTTCATTTTATTTTTCTTTTATACTTTGTTTCTCAAGATGTTTTTGTAGATATATATTTGAAATTAACATAAACGTGCGAATGAAAGACGTAGAAGTTTGTTTTTCTCCATAGTTCGCCATCCTGTTATTCATGAATGTTCTTAATACAAGTGGTTTTATTTTTCGTTTATTGTGAAATTGGATATAACTTTAAGTGTTATTAATAATAGTAAATTAACATAATTTTTTAGATTTTTAGTTAAGAACCATATCAATATTAAATTTAAAGGAACCGGGCAC